ACCCACAGACCTTCCCGGATTCAGCATGGAGGAGGAAGACCACATTACCTAGGCTGGACTGGAGCCCACGGGCTAACTGTGGGAGCTTGGGGGTTCATTAGATTCCAAGAGTAACTGACTCTCCAGGGAAGCGCTTGTTCCTGTTTGATAAGCGGTGCTCTTTTGTCCTGCATGCGGGGATCAGAAGGGACCGATGCAGAGCAGCCCACAAAAGCAGAGCTGCTTGTTCCCTGTGGGCCACAGGTTCATGCTGAAATCAGTGTTCCTGGAAACACGAGGCTTCAGATCGGCCAGTGGCAGAAAGTTGGGAGCAGGGAGGATGTAATTTGGGCGTCTGAGACAAACCTTAGTGATGGCTATCCATTTAAGAGATTCAGTGGTTTTTGGAGCTGTGAAAGGAAATTAAATTTTGGGACCCTAAACTGGTTTAGCTGAAGAGAAAAGTCAAGCTGGGAATTGGGTCACACAAACCTGCCTCCACCTTTTAGTTCCTAAACAAGATGGCTACAAGATGAAAAGTTACACGCTTCCCTCATATTTTGCCCACAAGGAAATTCCTGGTGAGCTGTTAAAACTTCACCATGGCAATGCAACTTGATAGTCTATCTTTACAGATGCAGTAGCCCCGCCCACCAGACACAAACGCGTAACTGAATGTTCCCCTCCCCATTTTGTCTGTGTCATGTAAAATGCACATTCCCCAGTTTTCCTCTGCCCCTTTTGTTTATGTGAAAACTGTGTGCTTCTCAGTATCTCATCCTTTCCCCTTTAAATTTGGAGCCCTCAAAATCACCTTTGGAGAAAGGAATAGACCTGTCTCCCGGGCACATCCTTAACTTGGGCAAATAAATATCCTAAAAGGATTGAGACTTGTCTCGTTATTTTTCTCGATTGGCAGAGCTATTTTTTTTTTTTTTTAACATAAAGGCATTCCCTGGGCCTCAAACAGTTCTTGGTTGGGGGAAGGGGCACATATGTGGTATAGTTTTCGCAGCCCCTGACTGGCGGAGCATAGGGCAGGATGTCATCACCAGAGGCCAAATTTGATTGCAAGCAGAGCCTACTCCCTCTGCCTTTTCTGCCAAGGCTCCTAATCGTTATCTCACATGATAATTATTTTGGGTAAAACATAAACCAGAATTGTGATGACAGTGTAGACTCACAGGCAGGAACCCCGACAGAGCTGGACAGATGTGCATGCAGTAACCTTCCATCCCACTGATTGCTTTCCATGACAATTCCATACACGCTTGCCGGCTTTCTTCTTTGCCTGTGGCTTCCTTATGCTTGATTCAATAACAACAACAAAAAGATGTGCGTGCGCGTGCGCGCGTGTGTGTGTGTGGTGGGTGTTTATTGTTAAAATGCTTTATTTTTCGAGTGCTGTTTCTTGAAAGCAGTAAGAAAATTTCCCATATAGGAGACTCATCCATGCAGGGTTCGCAGGATCCCACAGTATGAGTCCCCAGAAGCAGGTCCCATCAGGAGAGTCTGGGTCTTTAAATTATGTTTACAGCCAGCACCAGGCCATCCTGGGAGTCCAGACTTCCTGCAGGAGCAGCTGTCTTAATTTCCTGACATCATCCAATTAGACAGCAAGGTCTCCCCTATTGAATTTAGAAATATTTGCAGCTCATTTTTTAAAATGACTTATAGAAAGGGGAGAATACTTAATGTGTTTATTCAGACCAGTAAACTCTCCTTTATATCTAATTTTTTTTTTTTTCAGCTTGAGGTCCTCAAACACTTTACTGATTGTTCTTAAACAACCAGGGTTAGGAAAAAGACATTGGCCATTAGAGTTTCTAAAGACACCACTCCAGGGCTGAGCTTTGGCTGAGTATTACACAAGGATGAAAATACCTCCCCATGGGCCATGGAGGTCCTCTTTCTTTTTCCCCTTTCCTAGCCTGTGGCCTTTTAAACATTTTTCAGAACAACTTTCTGGAAATGTTCCTATGCATGGCACCATCAATATATTTGCTCTTTCTTTCCAACCAAAGAATCACTTACTCTAGGTATGTATTGGAATACTTATTTAGAACATCTTATATCATACAATGTGTTTTCACATGCGTTACTCTGTTTAATTTTCATCACTCTATGAAGATGGCATAGTTCTTCCTATTTACCAGGCCCAGAGAGGTAAACTAAAACAAACAGCCACGGACAGGTGCATTTAACTTATTTAAATCCACCTCTCCATGATTAGCTTGTATCAGGTTAAGAATCTAAAATGTGGCCAACTCCATCACCTCTCTATGAACTGTATTCACTTTGAACGTTCTCCTCTCCCATCTCCTCCATGTACCACAGAACATTCGAACAGAGAGTTACTCTTGCCTGGCATCTTTCAGTTTCTCGTATCTGCTTTCTCTGCCTCCTCTCCCCGGACACCCTCTCTAGCTTCAACAGTCCTGCCTTTTGAAGCCCCTTGTGTCTTTAAGACTGAACTCAGATGCTGCAGCTTTTCATTCCGTAGTTTCTTAGTCAACTGAGGCTGCTGTAACAAAGCGCCGCACGTTGGAGGCTTCCCAACAACGGAAATGTATTCCTCACAGTTCTAAGGCCGGAAGTCTGAGATGGGGCTGCCAGCAGGGGCAGGTTCTAGCATCCTCCTCTAGGTCGCCACCTTCCTGTGTATCCTTGCATGGTAGAAACAGAGAACAGGAGGGCTCTCTGGGGTCCCTTCGATAAGGACACTAATTCCATCCCTGAGGGCTCCCCCTTTGTGACCCAATCACTTCTCAAAGGCCTCAGCTTCTAATATCATCACATTGGGGGTAAGATTTCAACATACGGACGTTGAAGGGTCACAGACATTCAGTTCATTGCACATGGTCACTGATTCTACAAACAGAAGCAAATCACACCCTCTTCCGTGCACGCTGGTGTTCTGGGCTCTGTTCTACCAATTGTGTCTTCTGCCAGACAGGAATTGGACATATACCCACCCAATTATCCCCAGAGCACAAAAGCTCCCAGAGGGCAGGGGCCAGCTCATCTCCTTAGTCCTCCCTGATGCTGTACAACTACCACTGAGTACAGAGATCTGGAGAGAGGACATGTGGGGGCATCTTCTATTCTTGAAGCCTATTTCCATGAAGCTTTCTTTAATTCCCCCAAGCCGACATTTCCTTAATTCCCCCATCCTCCTCTGAATGTCACAGACATGATCCATGTGACTCTTCACCCTGTATTATAATCAGTGGCTTCTATCTTCTTCCTGGTTATCTCCCCTTCCAAAACACAAAGCCTGTCACTCATGAGGGTAAGGTCCATGGTTGATTGTACTTGTATCCTTCATAGGGTTTTATATATATTAGGTCCTAGATGTGTTTATGGATTAGAAAATTATCTTATACATTTAAAATCTATTAAAATAACTGCAAAATACACCCCTTTCATTGGGGAAAGATGGACCAACTCTGGTCAACACTGCTCTTCCGATTTTAGGTTTCCATATTATTTCATCAATTTATAACTTTTAAAAATTACCATTTCAGCTCTGGATTTAAATGATACCACAATTTGCTATCAAATTCTTGCACATCATTTCCTCCAGAGCATATGATTTAAAAGTCAAAAACTAGGTGTTGAGTTTGTGCAAAATATATTCCAAAACAACCCCATTTCATAATTATAATCCATTTCACAATATAAAAGTTTAATAAATAAACACTTGGATGTTTTTATTGTTCTGTCAGAAATAGTGGACTAACTAAAATAAATTCAGTGAGTGAGGATGGATACTTGTCTGTTTAGCTAGCCTTTCACTATCATACATACACAAATACACACACCTCTGAATGTCACTTTTAAATCCCATCCTTCTAATAAATCATATGGTACAGACTTTTCCAAACTATCCATAGCAGAATTAAAGTTAAAAAAAAGAGGAAATCTGAGGGCCAGGCATGGTGCCTCATGCCTGTAATCCCAGTGCTCTGGGAGGCCAAGAGGGGAGGATCACTTGAGGCAAGGAGTTTGAGACCAGCCTGGGCAACAAAGTGAGACCTTCATCTTTACAAAACATGTAAAAAAAAACCCAAACAAACAGTTGAACTCAGTGGCATACACCAGTAGTCTTAGCTACTAAGAAAGCTGAGGTAGGAGAATCCCTTGAGTTCAGGAGTTTGAGGCTGCAGTGAGCTTTGATGGCGCCACTACACTCCAGCCTGGGCGACAGAGTGAACCTCTGCCTCAAAAAAAAAAAAAAAAAAAAAAAAAAAAAAAAAAAAAAGTGGGAGGGGATTCTGAATAAAGGCTTGTGATCAAGAAGAAATCACAGTTCATTCAATGGAAAATTACATAAATGGGCATAAGCCATTCACTATAAACAAGATGCACCATCATTTGTTAATAAGCATGACTCAGTAAAACTGGTTCACTTTATATCCATTCCTTGGTTGCCAGTGACCAATGTATGAAAATAATTTCATTATAAAGCACCTTTATGTATATATTGGGCCAGCAGCGCCAGCATTAAGCCTAGTCCTAGACATTTCTGTTGTGTAGTTGTTTACTAGTCACTTGATTTTAAAATGGTCCTTAAAAGGAAATCCATGGACAAGCCAGCTTGCAAACAACAAAATGCATGACAAAAGGCTTTGTAAAGAGCACATCTGAGACCATGTATCGGGTTTTTCTACAGGAAAATCAACAGGGTAGCAATGTGGGTGTTAAAGGCAAAGACCTACTCATCTGCTAGGTTGCCCAGGGCCCATACCAATGGCTGTGAGAACCAAAGGGAGAGAAGAATGTGGCTCATGCTCCACACACAAGGGGCCCTGGGCACGCTGTCAACAATTGGCTGGACGTTTACCATCTTCTTCAATCATGTTTCCAGAACAACAAAACTTTAAACCCAGATGTATCACACCAATGGGTTTCCTTTTGTGTTGATTTTAAACAGGTATGCATGGAGACAATTGAAAATGGCAGCCCCCAGAGACTTATGCATTTAAACTAGGTAAAATGAAGCATTTCTTCTCTCTTACTTTTAACCGTGAGGTACATGGACTTGCTGACGTCTGCGCCCACATCGTTGCTGACCTTGCAGAGGTAGTAGCCACTGTCTTCCTCCACGACATGCTTGATCAGCAACGACCCATTGCTGAGAACTTGGATTCGGCCATTTAGGGCAATTGGCTGGAACTGGGGAACCCCAGCACCTGAGACAGAAAAAGAAAGAGGAGCAATGATGCAAACGTGAGTACGTATGGGAAGACAATGAGTTCAAGTACGCCCAGACTCATAAAGAGAAGCACCAGACACTTCACACAGATCCCATAAGGCAGTCACGGGATACACCAGGTTTTTCTTTCTTTCCTCCAATATTAAAATTCTTGTTTAGAGAGAAAAGCATTTATTTGAAATGACAGTATTTCAGACTCTGAGATAAAAAAACTAACAGAACTTACAGATAGTTTCTACATAAAAAGCCAAATTTGATGAGTGTTAAGTAGCTGATAAATTATTCAAAGAAATCACAGTAGAACAACCACAGAAGCAGACAACTCTCACGGTGCTAAATAAATTCCTTGTGTTCCTAGGGACTTAATATGAATGTAAACAAGGAGTGCTCCAGGGACATGGCATTTGAAGTCTTTGCTCACTGCACATGTCTGAGGCTACAAAGAGAATAGGAATATTGCAGGTTTTTCTTTAAGGGTGGTTATATTCTGGTCTAGAAACACAATACACTGTTAATATCATTTAATGTTATTTAAATAAATACATCGGATTAGTGCAGTAAGACAGCACAGAATTAAAATGCCACTCTCCTCAGAGGGTTTCCATGCAAGGAGGAAATGGCACAGATAGGATATGCTGTTATAATGACTGTGGTATGATTCATATGAAGGATTCATATACAACTATGGAAAAAAAAAAGGATTTTAGCAATAATGAAACAGACTATGAAGGTCCTAGAAGAGTTCTGGGAAGCTGATGATTTGGATGAACGTGCCATGCTGCCTGCTTCTGGCCTGGAGGAGTTGGGTGGGAAGGAAGAATGGGATTCAGGCCCTGAAAGATTCTCCCAGGGCATTTTTCTTCCCTGGCCTGAGTGTCTGGGGACTTGAGGGGAAAGCTCTGGGGTGAGGATCTTCCTGGAGGAAGCTCAACATTTGGGCCAAGGATGTGTTCTAGAGAGAAGCTGCTAACTCCCTGGCCCAAGAACCTACATGGGAGCTGAACAGGTCAGCCATCTCCACAGGCCTTAAGCAGGAAACTTCAGAATTTGCATCTGAGGACAGGAGAAGGGAAGATACTTTCACCTGCTGTCTCCACACCCTAATGACAGCTTGTATATTGGTCTCACTTGAGCTCACAATGGCAGAGACTGTGGCTGTGCCTTCCTTTCCCATGTTTCTGGTTTAGATTTCTCAGCAACTGGTCTCTAGCCCCACTGAAGAGACGAGAGAAACTGATAATGTTCCTAAGGGGACCTTTCACACTGAATAAGGAGATCAAGTAGAATCCCTGCAACAGGTGGTTCCCATCAAAATGGAACTGCTAGAGGGGACATATGATAACCTGAAATTAGTAGAACAACCACAGAAGCAGACAACTCTCACGGTGCTAAATAAATTCCTTGTGTTCCTAGGGACTTAATATAAGAGCACATCTGAGACCATGTATCGGGTTTTTCTACAGGAAAATCAACAGGGTAGCAATGTGGGTGTTAAAGGCAAAGACCTACTCATCTGCTA